CAAATTTGCACTTGTAAAAATGTTCAGATAAATCAGAAAATGGTACAGGAAAAAAAAGTTTCAAACTGTTTCTTTTGGGATCCTTCACCATGCTGTTTTGCATGTGTGTTTTTGTGGCAGCAGGCAGTTTGTTGCTTGAAGAAAGCTGAAATATTCTAGGAAGTCAGGCGAGCTCGATTTAGATCTTAAGCGATGCCAAAACTAATATAGCCTGTAACTAAGTGAGAGTGACTTTGCACAGGGAATGTCAGTCACCCACAGCTTTGTCTTACATTTTCATATGAACCTTTCAAACAGGAAAACACAAACAAAACCCCAGAAAACCTGGTAGCTGCTTCCATCCAATGGAGTTGTTGCCTGGGCCGGGTTGCTCCTCATCCTCAGCCTAGTGAGGGTCTGCTGGGGCTGGGGGCTGGACAGATGGGGATGGACTTGTTGGAGCATGGAGTGCCTGTGGTGGTGGGAACTGGGCTGGCCTGGAGTGCCCTCTCTTGGCTGCTGCACACCTCACAGTTCGGAAAGGACAAGAAAGAGTCAGCCTGGTTTATCATTTCAGTTTTCCGGTGTGATGGACAGAGGTAAGCTGTGTTGGTTCTGTCTCCAGATTTGCTTCCTAAGGCCCTCTGACAGCTGAGCCTGGTGCCCATGGCAGTCGAATCACTTGAAGCCACAATAAAGTTACAGTTCCAGCATTGCACGTAGGACTCTCTTAACTTGCTGCTCCTGGGACTCTTAACATTTTAGCAGAGCTCAGGTTTTTAAGAGACCTCATACTGCTCCAAATCCAGGGATCCCAGAGGCAGCAACTGCAGTGGCCCCTGATTGACTCTCCGCTGCTAAATGAATCCAGAACAAATGAGGCTCTGAAAATAATAAGAAAAATTTGACACCTGGACTCCAGGAAACATTTGTGGATTTTGATGAGGAGCATGGGGGGGAAGGGAAAACCTGTGGTTCAACATAGTTAAATATATGGTGTGCTAAGTATGAATAAATTGTGACTATTTTAAACAAGTTCATATTACTCTGTGGCTGGCTCGGGCACAAAGGGATAGACACCAACCACAAAGTACAAGTTCTTTAAAGGGTTACCTGAAGGCCAATGTCCTGGGCTGCTGAAGCTGCATGGCAGGGGGGCAGCTTTCAGCGTTTATACAAGTGGCAAACTTTTCTACATGTAACTCTTTCTTTTAAAAAAAGGTTGGTGTCAGTGCTTGAGAGTTAAGGGGGGTTGTCTCCTCATAGCTTTACTTTGCAGTCCAGTTCCTTTCTTCATTGTTCATAAATGATTCGTTTGTGTAAAGAAATCCTGCAGTAAAGGTAAAAGTTCCTTTTTAATGGTACCAAGCCTGGTTTATGATGATCTTGGAGGTCTTTTTGACTCTTAATGATTCTACTATTCATATTCATTTCAAGACGACCAAGTTGCATGGGGCTGTCTAGTGCACTCTCCCTCTGCTCTGATGCAAAGTCACGTAATAATTTCTTGAATTACTGAACTTGAGTCCCTTCTGTATCCTGAGTACCATTGCAGCAACATCTCAACGCTGGGTTTGGAGCGAGAGAGTTTCTCCCCAGCCTGTGAACTCCATCCAAGTAAATGAGCCTTTCACTTTGAAGCACAGACTGAATTCTGGTCCTGACTGCTAGTAGCTAAAAATCACTTACTGTCTGGCTTAATGTTAGGCAAGTAAAATGAATCTAGAGCCTCAGGGTGGGTGTACAGTCACAACTAGTGCTGTTTAGTAACTTGGAATGGTTTTAGCTGGTCTATTAACGTGGAGACAACCCAGAAAGCCCAGTGTGGGAGTGAACTTGCCTTTTAACTATCCTAACTATATACAAGCTGTACCTTTTGCAGTTAGTACAGAATCTGTTTTTTATCCTGCTGCTAGCCCTGCTTTCTTTCAAAAACAAGACAGCAACCCACACAGTCCAGTTGCACTCCCCATTTAGAAAATGTGAATGTGAATTTGATGTTTGCTGTCTTGTTTTAGCAGGTGGTGTTCTTTAGGGTGGTCTTGGACTCGAGTGTAAATCATAAGGCAAGATATAAAAAAAAACCCCAGTGTTCCTTTGGTTTTGATAAGGAAAGGACCGTGCAATCCACAGTTGCAATAGAATATTAATATGTTTACATGATTGTACTTGAAATTCGGTAGGTCTGTGTCTTCTTGTGCAGCTTTTGTTGCATTCCTTATGGCAATGGCATCATGATTCAGTTACTGGGATCAACTCAGGTTTTACAGCACTGCTGGTGTTCCTGCCTTAGCTCTCACTGTGCAGTTTATCCTGCTCTTCTCTCCCTGTGCAACAGCTCCCTCTGCTTGAAATCAACAGTGGAATTGTAACCCCTGTTTTCTGTTTGCCTGAACAACAGTTTTTAATATGGGCCCCTTTTCTGAGATTTCTGCTGCTGCTCTTCGTGAAGCAATTCCAATGCGTGTTGTGAAGCAGCAAAAATAACCACATTGTCCTCAAAACTTCGCTTCATAAGAGCTGTTTCTTTCCAGGAGTTCTCTTCATTTTTATCCTGAGGAAAGCTAGTTGGAACACTTTTTTCAGCTAAATTATCTCTTAACAAAACATGATGATTTACTGAGCAAAAATGTTTTTATTTCAGTGATAAGTTGAAACAGGACTGCTTCTCATTAGAAATGCAGTAGTTAGGCCACTGACCTTGACTATCTGTACATAAAAAGCTAATGGTGAGATTCCCATGTCCTACCTAAATGGTTTGGATTCAGAATCCGAAAAAAGAGCAACTTTGGATCAAACAGAGCAGGGTTTGAACCTGGTCCCCAAGTCTCAACCGTACCATAATTACTGGACCAGTCATTCACTCACAGAATTTTTGTTGGCTTATCTGCATGGGTAAGGGTGAGTGCTGGGTTTGTTTTGTTCATTTTTTATCAATATAGCTAAGCCAGCAGTAGTCATATTATAAAAGCTGTTGTGTCAGCAAAGGTGTAGTTTTGCTGAGAGAGCTTTCACCCATTTAGGGAACCAGCATAAACCTTCCTTGCCACGGCAAGATGAGCCCATGATAGGAAAACTTGCTGGTTTAGTTCTACAGTAGAGCTTTCCTAATGTGAACAGTGCCTTGCTTGCTGTAAAATGGCTGTGTTGACACAATCCTGGGTTTGCAAGAACATCCAAAAGGTTATTTTTAATTTGCATTGAAGCAAACCCGAAGAGTAAAAACACCTCAAAAGTCTGTGTTTGTTCTATGGCTATTGAACTGTTTGGGCACAGAGGCAAAGCCTACTCTGAGCAAAGGGCTTTAATTTAAAGCGGTAATTTTAATTGTCAAAATTCAACACTTAAAGCAAACCCTCTTTTTTTATAAATATTTTGGAATTTGTATGGATTCTCCTTCTGAACTTCCTGCGTTTTGTTTTGCTTCTAAAAATTTCCAAGCTGGATGCAGTGTGTGGCTGTCTTGCTGTTGGAAACACATGGAATCCTTCCCCTGGGCACTGTGTGTGGCAGGTTTGGGCACAGACAGTCAGACAAACGGAGCTCCTTGGCACAGATTCAGGAGGCAGAACACAGAGAAGCTTCTGGGCTTGATTATCAAGACATGATACTCATGAAGAAGCTTCTTCTGTGCAGTGCGGATACCCAGGGTTTGGGAAGATTATAAAATAGCAGGATTAAGCAGTAGAACAGGAGAGAATTATTGCTGATATGGGTTTACTTGAATCCAGCTTCATCATGGCTTTTCCTGCTAAACTCTAATTTCAGGTCTCTAATTTCAGCCTTTTACAGATATTACAGTCATTGCCTCATATGTTTGCACATACCTTAAAAAACATGTGCCCTTGGAAAGCAGTGTATAGTCATATAAAAATAAAGGGTTTAAAAAGCATTCCTGTTTTCAAATTAACACTGAGGTGCTGAATTCATGGTGGTCTTTGTGATTTGAATTTTGCCCTTTTTTTTATCCCTCCCATGCCCTGAGTAAGATGCAAGTCCTGAGGGAAAAACAATCCATGATTATGCACTTGGAGACCCAGTGCATGCAAGGAGCATTTCTGAACTCTGTGAGCCCTTACCAAGGGGGAGAAAAGCTAATTGTAATTTTAACAAAACAAACAAAAAAAATTTAAAAAACCCATAAATTTGTTTTGTGTCTCTTTCTGCCACTGTATAATAATTTATAGTAATTTAATTGGATTGAGGATCGTTTGTTAAATGGTTGCATGCATGATAGAAGTGGTACAGGACACAAAGCAGAGGCTAATTCTGGGGAAAAAATAAGTGAAGTTAATATCTTTGCATCAGTTTACAAGCCTTATCAATGTGTATAATATTTTCTGCTTCACATTCTCTATATCCACCACTACAGTATTCCTTGTCTTCAGTAATAATCTTAGTTACTCTTCTGTTTTTGTCTCCTGTACCTTAAGGAAGCTTCAAGGGTGGAGAAAATGTCTTTTATAAGTTGTCATGTGCAGTTGACAAAGCAGAAACACTGCAGTAACAGAGCAAATGTAAAACGCTATTTCTTGAATGTTTTGGGGGTTAATTTTAACTTAATATTTTTAATTAAATTTCTAATCTTGCAATGGTTCCTTTTACCGTCAGTTTTGCTGCTCTGGAGCTCTCAGGTGACATGCAGAATGGTTATTTTCTGTGACATTAGCTCGTCCCAGGCTGGATGGAGGCTTGTGGAAGGGTGCCAGTGTTGTTGTTCTATTTGCAGGTTGGCCTGGCTGTGCCTGTGTGTGTAAGGAGAAGGCAGGCAGGGTATCGGTCACCTTTCAGATCTGAAAATTTCTTAATGGATTAGGCAAGTGATGGAATATCTTTCTTTTTGTGAACTGTAAGCCTTGGCAGTATTAGCAGACAGTCCTTTTTGAATGTCTCAGCAGGCTTCCGTTCTGTAGCATTAAATGATGAACGTGCTTGAGTGCTCTTTACATACTCCAAATAAACATCATCCTTCAAGGCTTTCACTTGGGTTTTTTTCAATTTTTTTTTTTTCCTCCCCACAGGATCCCTTGGATCCAACAAGAACAGCCATTGTGATCAGCTCCTTGGTGGCAGGTGGAGTAGCTGAGCGTGGTGGGGAGCTGTTACCGGGGGACCGCTTGGTCTTCGTCAATAAGAAACATTTGGACAGCGCCACTTTGGCAGAGGCAGTGGAAGTGTTGAAATCTGTGCCCCCAGGTACAGTTTCTCTTGGAATCTGCAAGCCTTTGGTGGTAAGGACTGATTTTATCTTTTTTTTCCTTTGGTCCTATGACTGGGCTGTTGTATTTGGGGGGAGAATTTAGAATGGAAATATGCGTGCGTCTGGAAAGCAACTAAGTTGCTGTGCATATGCCTCGACATGTCCAGAAATCCTGGCAAATGGGCATCTCAGTGTCCAAAAGGTCTGACTGGAAAACCAGCATCCTCAAGTTCCTCCTTAAAGAACATCCACGTGGAATCAGGAGACGTGTCTGGGCAAACCCATGTGCACTGTGCGTAGGTGTAACGTGGTTCAGGCAATTCAGCAAATCAGTTAAATATGTGCTGAAGTCCATTTCACTCTAAGACACTGCTAAGTGCTTACTTGAGCTCCACTGACATCAAAGAAACTTAATCTGTTTGAAGTCAAGACTGTAAATTCAAGCAGAATTTCCTTTTTCTGGAATCAGGGCTTTGGAACAGACAGTAGTTTACTGGAGAACGCTGCACTATTGTTCATCAAGGGCACCCAGGCAAAATTAATTAAAGCCCCAGCTAATAGAAAGTGCTTGTAATTCAAAGTGGTAGAGGAGTGGTGAAATAGGAATGTAGGAAGGCTGTTAAATACATTCTTTTCTTTTCTAAAATGTGATATTTCATTGTTCGTATCCTCGTATTTGTCTTTCTTTCCGAAACATCTCTATTTTTTAGTGTATCTGAATTATTTTTTTGTGTATCTGAGCCAGTATCTTCAAAAAACAGAAACTGTTGTCTTCATCTTCTCCATTTATGACTTTCCACATTTATAATTCTGTAGGGTTGATTCTCCCTCTACTTTTTAATTTATTGAAAAATGTGGGAATTTTTTTGTTGTTTTCCTGACTCATCATTTGGATTACCTTCTTTAGGGAGAAAGCAGAGAGGAGGAGAACATGCACAATGTGGATACCAGCAGCATTAAAACCAGCCCTGGGTCTCCAGAACCAATAGATAACATTAATTTCTCAATAATACTTGAAGCACCACAGGTATTTGGTTATTTTTTTCGTTCAACTTAAGTTTACACAGACAGGAAATAATATTTTAAAGTAAAAAAATTTTTTGGAGATAAGACCGGCGTATTGGGTAGACTTCAGGCTGGATTCCCTCTGAAAAAGCCTCTTAACAGCAAACTGTGCAAAATGTGTTGTGAACAGAGAACACTTAGCAATGCAGTTCCCAGACTGCTTTATCAAATTTATTATGTCATTAAAATACCTTGGGTTACCTTGGATATGAAATAGGAATGCTGTGTTAATATTACTCAAAAGTAGTGAGTTCAGCTTTGCAAAAAAGGTCAGGTATGGAAGCAGAATGCTTTTGATTATAATGAAGCAAAACAAAAAAGTAGTTTAGTGTATAAGTCACGCTTGAAATATGTTCTTCTTTATAGCCTTCTGATGTTCTTTGGAGTGATTTCTTTGCTCTCTTCCTCAATTCTCCTCTTTCTTATTTTCTGAGAAATAATTCTGTTTATTGTGAGGAGGGATGTGGCACTAAAGATAGTGAGAAACTCAAATACTGAGGTAATAGGCAATAATATTGCAGTACTCACCAGTGCAGAGTTAGAGAGATGTGGATATCTTTTAATTTTCATCTGTTCTCGAGTGCTTTGCAGAATTCACACTGGTAAATGCATTCTTTTTAGACCAGAAAAGACAATGCCAGAATCCTCCAGAACTGAAACACAGGAAGAAAAATAAATTCTAGATTTTCTTGTAGCTAAGCATATTTACATATCTCTAGATGCAAACAGATTAGAACCACCAAAAGGAGTAGTATTATGGGGCAGATGTAGGTATATATGAAGAAATTAATCTGGATAATGATAAATGATATTTACTGATTTTCATGGTGTAAAGTGGAGTTTGTTGTTTTACGGGTGCATAGGAAGGGTTCCTGACACAGAATTAGTCTTCTGCTAGCTCAGATTGTTTCTCTGCTTCCTAAATAAAACTAATGTTATTACTTTTAAAGAAAGTATTTTATCTTAAAGTCCTACTGAATATAGAAACTGGACCTCAGAGGTGTTTGGTTGCATTTTGTTTCACCTCATGTATAAGAGCATTGGTAATAGCTAAAATTTCCATCCATTTATTATCTTATCTGCTCATATAAGAGCCAAGAGTGGTGTGTCATGATGGCTCCCACTCTGATGTGCTGACAAAGCTGAATTTCAACAACAAAAAAAAAAAGAACTTGGATATTTTATTTGCTACCACAGTAGACTTCATGTCATATTTGCAGCATTCCCTGTGCCATTGGGAGCGTCTGCTGCTGCAGTGCAGCAGTCGAGGATGATACAGAGCAAACTGCTGGATCAGTAACACAAATTGTGTGTGGTTCTGAGCTCAGGCAACTGTTTTATGTAACGATGGAGTTGGTGGAAGTGTTGGGAGAATGATGCTGCAGGAGCGAAGTGAAACTAAATGGAATAAAGATGTAGAGAATTTGGATCTCTTCAGACTGGGTGTTTTGTGAGATCGAGGTACACAGGTCAAATAGATTAAAGGAACATTTAATGCTTATGAAAAATGTGCTAATTTCTAGATGGCTGGTGTTCTGCTTTTGTGCCAGCTGGTATTGACTGCATTGTTTCCTCATGCTTTTGCCTCTCTCTTGTTTTCTCTCCTGCCTCTCACTTGAATTATACAAACATCTTGGCAGCGTCTGAGGGTTTTTCTTCTGTATTTGTACAAATGTAACAACACAGGGTTCTGATATTAAAGGTCAGAAATGGTGCAGTAGCTTGGGGAGTCTGGAAAGGGGCAGGAAGCAGAAAGAAAAACATTTTGAGTGAGGAACCCTGAATCTGTAGATTGTTTTCGGAGTTTGAGGGTTCGGGGCCTTGAAGATAGGTTTTGAGGTTCTTCAGGCCACACAGACTTGGTGGCCTGACAAAGGAAGGTAAAACCTTTCTGTGTGTAGCAAAATTCTGGTTCCAGTGCAAGGTATAAAGTCTCTGATGCCTGTGCAGACTCACTGTGAGCCAATGAACAGCACTCCATTCCATTTGGGAGAAACAGGGATTACTGGAAATTGGGGAGGCACATGACAAATCCCAGAAAAGGAGCTGCTGAGTGAGATCTTTCAGAGTGGATTTTTGTACTTTTTTTCTCTTGGTTTTGTTGTTTGTTTTTTGGTTTTTTTCCTCTGTGATTTGAATTGAGTAGAAAAGTGAGCGCTGTTCTCTTTAAAACAGGAAGGGCATTAGATACTGATCATTTTATATCCGTGGGTCATCTATTTCCCCTCTGACCTAGGTTAAATATTGTGTGGAATACCCAAGGTAGGACAAAGGACTATGGCTTTTGGTTTGTGGGTTTGTTGTTTTGGTTTTTTTTTTAATTGCTGGTATTGTTGCATGAGCAAACTCTTCAGCTGTTTTTTATTTAGCTGATGATATTGTAAGAAATGTACATAAAACAGGTAGGTCTGAAGCATGGAGATACTTCAACCAGATTTATATATACTTTTTCCTGTAGGTTTTGTAGTGTTAATTAATAATTTTTGCCTAACTTCAGTCCAGATTGGTTTTTTTAAATGGCTGCAGCCATATCTAAGCTGTGCAACTTTAATTTTGTTATATTAAAAAAAAATCATTGCACTGTCTACTTTTGGCATTAAAATCATAAGTCAGAGAGTCTGTTTTCTTTTAGAATTTGTGAAAGGTAGAAGATTTTCACTTTAAAAATCAGGATGTACTTTTAATATGCATTAAAAACCATAGTTTTGAAAGAGTTAAGAGGAAACATAATGGTAAAAATCTGTCTATATTCCTGTAATGTTCTGTGCAGGGTTTCAGAGATGAAACACCTTTTAAAGAAGAACTTGTTGATGAACCACATTTGGACTTGGGAAGGTCATTTCAGCTTTCTCAAAATGATGATGAGGATGAGAGGGAGTCCTGGGAGATGTGTGAATTCCTGAAACCCAGAACAGAAGACATGGATGAAGAACGGGAAATGCTGGTGGATGAAGAGTATGAAGAAGACTCAGACTTCCTGAAATATAAAGCATCCTGTGGACAAAAGGCAACTTCAGACAGGAACCTTGATACAGAACGGTGGGCAAAGCAACTGGAGAGTACTGAAATAAAAGACTTGAGATCCAGTATTAATTTAAGTCCAGAACAGTCCCTGGAATATCCATTCAGTAAAGATCAAACGGTAAGGAATGCTGTGCTGGTCTCAGTGCTGTACCCTCACCATGGAACCCAGACCTCAGGGCAAACTCCAGACCTAAACTCTATTTAATTTAATTACTTGGGTACCTCTAACAGAAACCTTTTGTATGTTTTGGAAGGTTCTTTTGGTTACTTATTGGGTGCATGTCAGTAACAGCAGAATGTCACTTCAGGATTTTAATAGTCCAGAGGCTTCATTGAAAGGAAGTGAAATTTTTAATGCAAATCAGTTTCTTGAGCCAGATGATAGTGCAGTTGAGCAAAAAATGATATGGTGGAAGCAATTGTAACAAGGATATTGGTGGATAAAGGAGTAGGAGAAGACAGAGCTTCAGGTAAATTGCAGAACTCCCATTTATATGTCCTTCTCAAGAATTCTGAGAGTTATTTTTTCCTTCTGATTCTTTGTTCATTCCCTTACCAAAGAAAAAAGTGATAATATCAGCCTCCCATGCACCAGCTTCTGAGGTGTGTGCTTCTATATGAAAAAACTGAAGTGGAAAAGGATTTAACATTACAACCACAGAGAATTTCAGGTTTTGTTTGGCATGTCCCATTATGCACTGTGTACATAAACAGGCTAAAATGCAACTTCTACTGAAAGTTTTATACCAGAGTGCACAATATTAAATTTATATATTTTTTACTTATAAACAACAAATGAGCAAGAGTAAAGAACTTTTTGTCTGAATTACATTGAGTAGAAAGATACGGTTGCTTTATATTGCAATTGCATGTAACATTTTTCATGCCTCTTCTTAATATAGTGCATAAATGAGCAGTTAGTATTTAAATTAGCAGTTAGCATTTCATAGTTATCTGAATAAATATGAATGTAGCTGAGAAAATGTGTATGTTTGCTGTAAAAATTAATGTTCCTGTCAAATACCTCTGTGTAAGTTAATATCGTTGCTTTCTAACTTTAATTACTTTTTTTCTCCTCTGTGAAGTGTGAAGAAAATGCTACTATAAGGTCACTCTTTCCTGGAACCACAGCACACAGTGGCTACCAAAAGGACATATTTGATATTGAAACTACTCAGTCAGAAGAAAAAAGCAAGATGGATTTAGGTTTGTTAGAAGCTTTTTCTTTATCTTATAATTTCATATTTACAAATTTAAATTTTATACCAAAATACAAATTCTTTCAAATAATACAGTATTTAAATGAAGACTTTTGCAGGCTCAACGCAGTCTGGCTTTAAATAGGTTTCAGCTTTATAATCTTTCTTCCTCCTCCAAATCTGGGCAGGTTTAGATTAGAAGTTAGGAAGAAATTCTTTAATCAGAGATTGGTGAGGCCCTGGCACAGGTTGCCCAGAGAAGCTGTGGGTGCCCCATCCCTGGAAGTGTCCAAGGCCAGGTTAGATGGGGCTTGGAGCAGCCTGGTCTAGTGGAAGGTGTTCCTGCCCATGGCAGGGGGTCGAATGAGATGAACTCTAAGGTTCTTTCCAACCCAAACGATTCCATAATCTTTACCCACAGTTGTCACAAATGATACTGAAATGGGCTGCAGCTTTGTTCTGCCTGTGGAAATCACTTTATTCTGATGATGTCCCCAGGAGGGAGATATTCTGATAGCTGATGTCTCCAGGAGGACTCTGTGCATAAGGAAAATAGCTTATTGCTGTAACCTCTGTCAGGAATTTTTCTCAGTCACTTTTGACTGCTAGCTGTATAGATTTTTGCACTTAAAAAAAAATTTTAAAAATTAAGTAACAGGCTCTGGAGGTGACTTTACCACAACCAAAAATTTGCGAGGGATCTCTGTAGTAGATATTGCCCCATATCTTGGTTTTGTAATCTGCGTTCAAGAGCAGAGTTTCTCCTTGTCAGATGGCCAGACATGGGTGGTTAGAATTTGGTAGATCATCAGGGAAATAAATTTATCAACCTGCCTGAAGTAACACTCCCTGGTTGGGAGGAAGGAGATTGGGCTGTTTCCTGTCTTTGCCACCTGCACCTTGTGCAGCAACTGCTGTGTGTGAGCTGCAGTGACAGACTGGAACTCTGGTGGTTCCGTTAATGTTGATGCTTCTGTCACCAAAATTACATCAGTCTTCCCCAGCACGATGGGATTCTGTACTGGAGCAGGGATCTGCTGTCCCTGTGCAAAGGATAGATTCACTATTCCTAACCATGTGTTTTTGTGAGGAGCATCTGACGTGTAAGTCGTACCAAAGAATGTCTTGAGTTCCACAGAGGTCTGATGTTTCCTGTTATTACTTGACTGTTTGTACCTCAGAAGCAAGGTGCTATAAAAAACTGGTTAGTGTGGTTTAAATTTCCTTCAAAAATAAATGTTCTGTATCTCTAAGCCTCCTGATAATAACGCAACATCCACGTTTCATAGAACTACAGAATCCTAGAATGGTTTGGGTTGAAAGGGACCTTCACATCTATCTTGTTCCACTGGACCAGGTTGCTCCAAGGCACGTCCAACCTGGCCTTGAACACATTTAGAACCTGGTGAGCTAAGTGGCTTATTTTCAAGGATGATAACTGGTCAGTGCAGGGACAGAGGAAGTAAAAATTCTCATCTACCCCTTTTCATCTCCAGGAACAAAGCTTCGGATAGACTCTAAAGGGCCTGGGCTTGCTGTTGATTTGGAAGCTATTGAAAAGGAAGAGCTAAAAGGAGAGAATGATGTTTTCTCTAAGAACCTGGAATCTGAGAGAGTAGCCACCTTAGCTCAGCCTAGAACAGCATCATGCAGGTATGGAGAAATATTTCAGGTTCTGAAAGACTTGCAGTTAAAGATCTTAACTGTCTTCTTGCTTTACTTATTTACTTTACTGACTCATCATTAAAGGCTGTGTGAAATGCTAAGATACATTGATGACTCTTGCCCAAGGAGCTGAAGTTTGCCTTAAAACTTCCCATGTTTCCTCCCCTGAGTACTGGGCAGAAAGGTATGAATGACTGCCACCTCCTTCTCTTACTCCATGGTGAGGGGAGTATGGATGTGTCCTGGAGGAGAGGGATGTAACCTTTACAACAGCATTGCTCTCCCCTTAGCTCCTTCCTATAGCTCTGTCCTCTTGGTTTTCCCTTTCCTTTGTTCTTTTTGGGAAGAGCAGTTCAACCATGGCTCTCAGGCCTCTGCAGGAAACCGTAGTTTTGCCAGTGGTGCTGAGGAACCTTGAGCTGGCACTGGTTGTAAATATTTGCCATATCTGTCAAGTGTCCCAGTCTTTCCCCGGCAGTTTTGGGTGAGTGGGTAGTGGAGTTTTTGTAGCCTGTTGATTCCAATTCTTAGTACTTCCCTAATTCATCTGTAATCTCCCCTTAGAGGGAAAGCAGCTCAGCAGTAAGGTGAGGGGATTATTCTGTAGGTTTGGAACACACAGGATCTGTTCTGTTCTCCTAGTTGCATCATTATATGCTTTCTGGTCAGCTAGGCTGGTTTTGGCATGTTTATGTCCCTCTCTAAGCATCACAGCATATTTATCAGAAAGTAAATGTTAAAATTGCCTAAATAGTCATTTCAAATGAGTAAATGCAGTGCAGATTTGTATATCATGGAGCAGCTTATAAATTTGGTCTGCCCATCATGTTTATTTCTGGAGCATTCCTGAAGTACATTTAAACCTAAATACAAAAATTCCTGTCTAGTCTGTTGACTTTGTACATTTGGTTTAAACTGGACAGTGTGAGAAGGTGTTGCTGTCTCGCTGCCAGATAAAAAATATGTAAGGAATTGTGACCTGGCATGGGTGATACCTCTTTTATTTTTTTATTCTTCCCCTCCCTCTGCCCCAAATCAGTGAATTACCCGAGAGAGAAGAAGGAGAAGGAGAAGAAACTCCAAACTTCAGCCACTGGGGACCACCACGAACGTATGTTCATATAATTACATTATTCCTTCCCATTTACCTTATGTCTTTTTTTCTGTGAGCCCGATTAGTTCTCTTTGGTTTTTTTATTCTCCTCCTCTGCCAGTAACTTTAGGGTACTTGTGAATCTTGGGCTTTCCTAGATACAGTGAATTTTTAACAGATGTTCAACAGAATTATGCCTTCTATTTATACAGCTGACTTGGGAAAGCTTGGCTGGTTTACGTTGTGGATGACCTACAAGTTCTTGCTCATTTAATAACTATTAGGTGTGAACAATGCACACAGTGCTGCTGTCTCCCTTTCCACAAGTTCCCTGCTAAAATCCATGGCACAATTCCAAATTGCCAGGCTAACTTTTAACCATGTCCTTCTTGTATTGTTAACATTTTTAGGTGAATTGTTTTTATGGTCCTAAGTAAAACATGATCAGAAAGTTCCTGTTTAAGCTGATTAGTACAGTCAGTGTTCAGAAAGTTATATGAAACACTTTATTAGTTGCCTAGTGTGCCACTTGCAGGACTTCCCATTTCCAGACAATTTCCTCAAGCTGAAAGAGGATGAGTGTTTACTCGAAGATCTGACTTTCTCTGAAATAAAAGCCTCTGCCCAGTGGACCTGGATTGGCAGCAGAATTTTGTACTTTTTGTGGGGTGAAATCTGCTCAGGGTAAAAACTCTGTAGAGAGCATTCTTAGGCTTCTGACTTTATCTCTTTACTCTATTAAATCTTGAAAGACCAGGAGCTTACATTTATTTAAAGATTCACATTTATAGTTTAAATAAACTGTTTGAAGATGTTAAACTACCACACGTATTTTTTTCAGTGTTGAGATCTTCAGAGACCCTCACGTGTCTCTTGGAATCAGTATTGTTGGTGGACAAACTGTCATAAAGCGCCTGAAGAATGGAGAAGAACTTAAAGGGATCTTTATCAAACAAGTTTTGGAAGACAGCCCAGCAGGAAGAACCAGGGCTTTAAAAACTGGAGATAAAATACTTGAGGTAAATGGAGATAAACCTACCTTTTTAGTCTGAGAAATAAAGATTGACTCAAACAGCTTTGGGAGGAGAGAGAGACAAAATACTGCCACCACTTCGTGAAGTATTGACAAAACTGTGTTTTGAAAACCAAAAGAAACCTCTGATGGTGTCTTTTTTTTTTTCCTGAGGTCTGACTGTGGAGCCCTTTTAACATTCTCCTTTATATTTAAGAAAAAACATGGCCTGGTGTCTGAAGGGGAAATGAAGAAATGCGAGTGCCCTCTTCCCATATAAATGAGTAATAAATTATAGCATAACTATAAACATAATTTTAACACAGAGAAGAACATGGGCTCTTCATACTGAAATATGGGCTGTTATTTTGTGTGTGTGGATTTAGAGTAGTTAACTGATTTACTGCTATTTGGGGCAAATCTCTGATTCTGAGGTGCTGTGGGGGAAAGTGTCATTCCTGCCTCTCACTTCTGGCTCTGTGTTGATTTTTTACTCATTTTTCTCCAAATTAATGCTTCTGAATCTATGTTCCCAAGCCAATAGTGCTGCTCAGGTTTAGTTTACAAACAGGTAAAATCTAAAAGAGTTATATTATACCTAACATTATGTAACACTCTGACAATCTTATTCTTTATGTTTCTATCTGGAAGAATTGTTTTGGGAGACGTATGGCCATCTCTTAAGTATGAATTCTAAGTAATACAATTTTCCTTAAACCGTTATGGAAACATACTTTACAAATAATTTCTCTCGACTGTTTTTGATGCCTTCCTCAGATACACTAATCTTCTACAAGTGTGTGTAATCTCTTGCAGTGACTCTGTACCTAATAAAAATAAACATTGTTTGTTAGGTTTCTGGGATAGATCTCCAAAATGCCACCCACGAGGAAGCAGTAGAAGCCATCAAGAACGCGGGAAATCCTGTTGTGTTTGTAGTTCAGGGTCTGGCTAACGTACCAAAAGTAAGTTTATTTCTATTTTTATTTCAAAACTTAATAAATGTTTAATATGCATCTTAATTTAGGCTTGGCTCAACTCCTTTCAGCAAGTTCCATCAATTTTTGTGTCCAAGGATGGATCCTTTCAGTTATAGACTAGTTGATTGATTGATTACTTCTCTGGCCTGATTTGAAATCTCATTTCTCTGATTTACCTTGAGTAGATATAAATCGACTGACTAGGTGTTAATTCAGCTCTCCCACCTGTGTCATAAGAGTCTGGCCCTGTGTATTTAATTTGTCCATATTTCATAATCTAAAAATATACTCTGTTATGCAGAGGAACAAAGGTGTAATTAAAATTAGGCAGATTTACACCAGCCGCTCCATGTAAAATGTGTCACCAAAGGGACCTGAAGTAGTTATTTGGGAGCAAGTTAATTTCCAAGAGATTTTAGGTATCTCCTCATCTTTGAGGCCAAGGCAAGAAATTTTGAAAAACCTGAGTAAGAAAAGGCATACAATTCTACCAGCATTGAAGTACACACAGAAACCCCAAATCTGTGTGTGCTTTTGATGTAATTTGAGAGGTTAATTGGGAATTCTGGTAGATTTTGGGGCTAGATATCAACCAGTGAGCAGTAGAAAAAAGTATAGAATGTTTGTAAATTCAGGAAAATAATGTAATTCATTAAATTCAGTAAAAGAATATAATTTAAAGACTGCACTGCAATGCCCTTCTACATGGGGCAAAATGAAGAGAGTACTGGGTAACTTTGTCATTGTCATGAACTGATTTTAGGTGGGTTTTTTGCAGTTGTAATGCTCTTTCTAATGTGTGTAATATACACTGCTTTTCAGGTGGTTGCTCCCGCCCAGCCTAAGGGAATCAAAGTCAGCAAAGATCAGGATGCAGACAAAGAAAATAAGAGCGATAAGGTATTTATTCCATTCAAAGCTATACTCAAGTTTTACTGTATCAAATGGTATAATAGCATGTATTCTAACTCTATAATAAGCTTCCTCTGAAGTCTGAAATTAAATTTGAAGTGATTTGTTGAAATATCTTTGATTCTATGAATTTTTGCCATATTTCTGCCAAATACAAGTCAAGTTTCTGACAAATATTCTGTGGGTGTCTGCTGGATGCTGAAACCCTGTACTTAGCACAGCTCCTCACTGTCATCCCTCTGAAGTACCTGTTTTGCTCCATATGGAAGCAAATTGATTCTCTTTTGTTCAGCAGAAACAGAGAAATAGCAATGTGTACACAAATAGTATCCTTAATCTGAGGCTGGCTGAAATTCAGTAAAATCATGTTATAGGATAATTAAATCCACTGAGTCTCCTGCATTTCCCATAGCTGTGTAAAACAAGGAAATGACCGAGGGATCTGTAGCTGCTCAGCTAATTGTGAAGCGGTTACTACACAGCGACTTCCAAATAACTTCACAGCAGTTTTAAAAGAGAAAAAGTCTGGTATAAAACAGTGAATTTGTTTTCATGGCTTCAGTGAGGGAAAAAAATTAATTTCTCATTCCCAGCCATGTCACTGTCATGGCCTGGTGATTTCCTGTGGGAATTGCTCTGACTGAGGAGTGTAGGTCAGGTACTTTCAGAGTTTGTCAGAACTGGAGGAGCAGAGACAGAATTAACGCAGACACTAAGTTTTGCCTGGTGCAGTTTAACATGCCAGCTACAAATAGGATGAACTTTTCATTTGATCCTGCTCAGTACTCTGGGTACCTGAAAAGACCCTCTTGCCTCCAAAATTTTTCCTTTCAGGTACAGAAACTACAAGGCTCAGTTATTCAAAAAAATCAAGAAAGGTGTTGAAGATATGCTTTCATGCCAGTGGATAATACTTCCAATGAAGCAGTTACAATCCCGTTTTCTTGGCTTTTTTTATCTATATTTCTAATCTCAAAAGCTCTCATCCTCTTGCATTGTGCTGCCTTTAATCTCCAGCACTCCAGTGTGTCACGTTCTACAGCGTTCCGAGGTTAAAGAGGGAGCCTCATCTTTTTCAAACCTTTTTCATCTGTTGGTGCTATAAACTGGTGGGTGGAATAAAGAGCTTCAGTGCATAAATATGTAGCTCCTTTTTAGCTTTGAACATTAGTTCACAAAGCAATCGTACTGCGCTTCCGAAGTGCCATCTCAGAGTTGGAAAGAGTTGCTATTAGTGGATTATTAGTCCACATCCCTATGGGGAATCAGTGATATTTCTAGTCCAGTCTTCAAAGTGTCACAAAAGAGTTTGGTTTGAAAGCAGCCACATGCAGCTGGAAAACCTGCCTCTTTCTGTATGGTGAATTTTTTCAATACTGAAGGTTTTGCCTGATTTGTTGGTGTTTATCCTCCTCCGTTGATGTATTTGTTTAAAAATTATCACTTTATTTTATATAAAACCACTTAAAACAATTGTGGACAAACCAGATATCAACATGATTTTGCTTGCTGGCTGTGTAAACTGTGCTTTTGCCTCTGTATTACTACAAAAAAGTGGTGTAATAGGGTAGTCAGATACAAGTTATTCATCTGGCTTTTCAGTGGGCCAGGAGAGATGAGAGAAACTTGTCCCTCTGAGCCTTACAGAGAAACCATGGATAAGCTTAGGTGTCTCAAGTAATTTCAAACAGACTTTTTAATAAATGTTTAAGGTCTTAAAAAGCCAAAGGGTCAACATTTAGACTGTAAGTTATTACTAAATTATGGTGATAATAAAGTGACTCATTTGTCATAAGCAGCTGAAAGGAAGGCTGCAGGTTTTCCATCTTTATCTGCTCAGTAAAGTAGAACGTGAGCCCTATCATGCTTCCTGGGTCTTCTGGATTTTGCACAGTTCTACCTGTGCTGGCTTCAAGACAAAAGTGTGAGGCACGGCTAGTGTATTGTACACTTTTGGAAAACAGCTGTTGTGTTTCCAAGTGGATTGAATTAATTTCAGTTATTATTGCTTTTCTGTTTCAGCAGAAAAAAGTGTTGCAACACTTTCCCGTTATGTTTTTTAAATGGATGAGATGGTAGTTATCTTACCTCACCATATTTTCCATGTAGCTTGCAGTGCAGCTTCCTGGTTATGCTATTCTGTACAAATTTAAGCTCAAGATTTTAAAACTCCGTACGCAGGTTCAGTTCTGGTTGCACACAGTGAAAAAACATTATCCTGGGTTTGCTGTTTGGGTGTTGTGTCATATTTCCCAGCTGTAGAAGAAATTAATTACGGACATTGTGGGTGCTCTAATGGCATTTTGTCCACGGTGTTCCCTTTCTAAAGTGCATCCTGCTATTAGTAGGGTTGCAAGGGATGCAGCTCAGCGTCATTTAGTGAAATCACATTGCAAACTAAGGCAGGATCCAGTTCCTGGGAGCTATAAAACCAGTTGCTCAGCCGAAAAGTGCCTTCATTAGAATCAGAGCCTGCTCTGTATTCCTGCCATGCACCGCTACATGCATCATTATAGGAGCTGCCTGTATTTATGTGAGGTAATAGAATTTTATTGTGAGATATAATTCAAAATCTTTATTAAATTTAAGCCAAAATAAGGATGAACTGTGATGTTTAAATATTCATATATGGACTAAGAGGTTTGAGTTCATATTTTATATGTAAAAGTTTGGCATTTATCAGCACCAGACAGTTACTGAGTCTGTAATAAGAAACAGGGTGTAATTTGATGTTTATTTTTAACCCTTGAATAATGTCCACACTTTCATGTTTATGACAATACAGAAGTATTTTGTCAACAAGTAAATGTGCATGCACAATTGTGTTTTATTTTCTTTTTTTTAATGTTCAATGTCACTTCTTGTTCTACTTTCTTGCACAAAAAGCCTTTGCTGCAGAATTTAGCATTGTAATTAAGTGCTGTGTCTGTGCATGTACAGTGACAATAGACAGTAGGATTTTTTTTGTGTGTAGGGAGGTTACAAAATATGTAACTGTTTGTCTTTGAATCCATCAGAGAAAATATGGGGCTCCACCTCCCATGAAACTGCCACCTCCTTATAGAGCCCTTGAAAGGCTGCATGCAGAGGAAGCTGTCGTGGATGAAGAGGAGGATGAGGATGCTTGTGCAGAGAGTGAGTAGTGCACAATCATTACATCAGATTACATTTCTGGAACTCAATCAGACTGTGATAAAACCTGTCTGCCATTTATTGTTGTATTATGGGCAGTAGTGCTCAGTGTGGCTATAGCATCCAATCCTCCACCTGATTTGTGACTTAGATCATCTTTTCTTCCCAACCAGGCTCCTGTAGCTCAGCTCTTCCGAAAAGATAGAGGAAGGGCTCTGTTTATTTTCAGTCTAAAAATGGCTAAGCTGTGTCTAGAGGACTTGCTTGGGCAAGGCAGATGTTATGTTTTACTGTTGTAATTGCAGTGTTAGTTGAGCAGTCATAGGTTGAGAACCACTGGTGCATAGTTCTGTGCCCAGAAATCTTGCAGGTGATTCCAGACAATGCTGTTCAAGCAAGATAATTTCCTTAAAAAAAAAAAAAATCTGCTGATTTATTGTTTCGTACTTTACTGAAAAAGGACCCCTTTTTTTTTTTTTTGTAGCACCTTTTATGGGAAAGGTTCTACAATTGTCCCATTTCAGGTTTTGCAGTGAATTACAACAACATGCACTCTGTGAAAGAGTAGGAACCTAAAGAGTAGGATGCAGTGGAACCTGAGAGCTTCTGGCAGCATGACTTAGATTCCAGCATACTGCTTTGAGAATTACAACTTTGGTTAAATGGAATGTTATTATCCATAGCCTATTTTCCACTGGAATATTTAGAAATACTAGAATTGCAGTTAGGAGTCCTAAATTACTTTCTAAAATAAGTTACCTTCTATTTTTTATCTTTATGCTCTTTTGTATCAAATCAGCATAAAGGTGGGATAAGGCCTTGAACAGCTTGGGACTGTATGATCTTTAAGGTCCCTTCCAACCCCGTAACACTCTATGATTCTCTGTGGGTTTTTGTTGGGGTTTGGTTTGTATTTTTTTGCTACAGTGGTTTTTTCTCATCATCTTTTGTCTTGGAGAGGTTTTTGTTTACCCTGGTTATGGATTGGCCAAAGCAGAGAGATGCCTTTGTAGCTTTTGATCTTGAACCATCCGTGGCTCCCATTCAGAGTGGAAGCCCCGAACTTGGAGCCTGCTGGTGGGAAAGCTCTTCCTGCTGCTCTTGCTGATTTCTTTGGCAGTGGTGTGCCATTGAAGCTGAGATAATTAATGAGTTTGGTTGGTTTGTCACTTTTAGGGTTGCTTTGGTGGAGACAAGAAGGATTCTGGAAGGTTGTTCTCATGGAAACAGTAATGGGGGCAGAGGAGAAGTGTGTTCAGGTCTGCCTCTGTTGCTTTGAAGGAAAGTTGTGAGCTCTTGAACTGAGATACTTCCAGAATTCCCCCTTACTGAGTTTGTCATCCCACTGGTTTGAAGTATTCCACATAGTTACCTCAGGAAGGTTTTCCAGTGTTTCTGTGGGGAATGGTAGTGAGGGAGGAATATTTGACTGCAGACTCTGGGGATGTTGGATTGAATTCAAACAGACTTAGTAAAACTCCAATAGTAACAAACTCATTTCAGCTCATTATTAAAGTTATAATTCCCAGTTAAAGGATATGTGTGATAAGTAGGCTGACACCTGAGTTGTCTAATTAGGATATGCCTCAATCCAAGAGCTTGCTAGACCTCAGTTAAGACTTTGCTCAGAAATAATTCCTTATTCATGGGCTTGGTCATTTTTTAGCTGTTCTGCCATCCCTAACGATATTGCCGGCTGAGTCTGAAAGCGCAAAAGGTAAAGCTACTTCTGATATTAAATTCATCAATCCTACCAGACTTGGCAGCAGCACACATTTGTTCAGAGGAATCTCCTTTTCTCTCCCCTTTTTACTGACTGAAAATGTTTTGCAATAACCATCTTTTCCATGAATCTTGGAAAACCAAGACGTGCATTTTCCATTTTCTTCTTCCCCCACCTCATTCTTTTTCTTTCAAATAAAAAAACAGGCTAAGGAAGCTTAAACTAAGTTTGTGCCTCAACCCTTGAAGTAAAAAGCAAGTTAGAAATGATCCGACTGTACTTAATGACATTAAGCATCTCAGCAGCTGTGGAATGGGCTTTTACAGAGTCCCTATTCTGTGATCACTTGAAAAACAAAGTTTTCTCTGTGAATTCCAGTACAGTATTGTTTATGTGAACTGCTTGATGTTCATAACTTCTGTCCTGATTCTTGAGCACCTTCTCCAGAAATCTCAACCCAGGCCAGCACTTGTCTTTTTAACACTGTCCATTTGCATGTTCATATGGATCTGATCCTTACCCACTTATCCTACTAATTCTATTGGGTTTGTAACTTTAATAATAAGTGAACAAGTGAGGTAGATTTATTGTCTTCCTTATTTAGAAGATAAGGTATCTTAAAAAGGAAGGTGTGGTGTCAGCCTAGGTAAATTCACATCATAACCTCTCCTTCTTTCATTTGCTCCCTGTAGTTCTCCATCTCTTTCATAGCATGGAAAGCCTTGGAGGACATTTTGAGGTGGGACAGCTGTTAAATCCATCCTCTGGTTGTGCTCCTGATGGATTTTATTTTCTTTTTTAACATTCTTATTAATACAGCTGCAGTGTCACGAACCTACTCATCAATTTCTTTCATACTCCAGAAATACTTTACTTGCTCCACTTGACATTTTTTCTCCTTGTTTGTCACTTCTTTGAACCCGTCCTCTCATCTTGTGTCTCCACGTCCTTCGTCATTCCCCAGACTGAAAATGAAAGCAGAGCATTGTTAGTCTTCCTGCCATGCTTAGAAATTTTTTCTTTCCTTTCTGTCCCATCCATACTGCCTCACAGTCTCTGTGTTTTGTCTGTTTTCTCCTTAAAGTGGCTGAAAAACCTTTTGGTATTGATTTAATCTCCCCTGTGGGAGCTAAATCCACTTGCCTTTTGGCAATGCTCCCTTTTATTCCTGCTTTTCCACTACTGAAACTGTAGCTTTCATTGCTGACTTGTTGGAACAAACAGTAATTTCTTGTAGATGTTTTCTCTTTTCAAGGGTTGTTTTTGATCCAAAAAGGGTGAATCCTTGTTGGGAATAGAACTGTGAGGTACCTCTTGGTCTAGAGAAACTCCATACATATCCTCCATGTTTCTGTGGTTTGAGAAGTTTACAGTTCCAGCTGTTTTGTTGGGTTTTTTTTCAAATGTGACTTCTTGCACCTAAGACCCTTAAGTTTCAGATCTGCTTCTCCTTTATATTTCTGTTTCATACCACAAGTACTTCCAGTATTATATCCTAAGTTCTTAGCTGGTTTTTCCTCGACTTTGAAGGCACGTTGGAAATAATATTTCCTCTTGTTTTATTTCTTCTAGTGATGCTGTTAAATCTTTATCATTATCCAGCTCTAACATTGTGTGACGTGGGTTTGTTTTCTCTTTGCTTTGACTTTGCTGTTTTAGGGCTTTCAGCTTATGCTTCAAAACAGTTTTTGTACAACTTGCACCGTGTGCATCCTGCTGCAAAAGGAGCCTTCAAAATCCGTCATCTTCCAAACCTGAAAAGATTACAGTTACAACATAGGTTTGGTGTTATTCCTTCCCACACTTGTCCAAGGCAGAGGTTATTTTGGAGAAAGAGGTTTTTTTAGACTTCCCAAACCTTAAAACCATAAGGTTTTGAATAGGATTTTTTTTTAGTCAAAACAAGTAAAAGAAGGGGAGAACATACAAAGGAGCTATTTGTACTTGGAGCAGCTGTGCTGTAACTGCATCAATAGGCATTGATGTGTTTTCCTGGAGTGGGGGATGGCTGGAGGTGTGCACTAAGAATCTGCTAATGGACTAATGTGCACCCCGTTGTGGCCTATTGCTATAATGAGGGGTTGGTAGTAAAAAGAAACAGAGGAAATGGATGGGCAGAGTAGTTTGTAATGGAATGTTTCATAAGGTTTTCCTTGGGGGAATTCATAACCGTACAGTTTAGATATAATTTTGTAACTGAGTTGAAGCAATCATAAATTAGATAGGAAAGGCCTTAAAAGCCATTCTAAGAAAACTAAACAGGCAACTGTTGAAAGAACTTGAAATCCTTAGTTTCAATTGCTGTTACATTTTTAGTAAAATCTTTTGTCAGTTAGTTGACTGAGATTGATCTGGTTGGTTTCAAATAAGTTTAAAATCATAAAAATAGATGATAATAAAAAATTTGTGGAAGGTAGCTTAGATAATGGACTAAGCTACTGCTGTGCTCAGACTTCCTGGCTGCAAGGGTATTAAACTGTATCTAATAAGGGGATAATAATGCCCCCTTCCTTTTATTTTGTCTCTAGATAATGTAGAAATCAATGAAGCTCTAAGAAAGCATAATGATTTATCCTCCTAAAATGCCTTTTGAGGTTGGTCGTTTCTTTACCAAAGCAAGAGATTTTAAAACTTCTCTAGTATTTGACTCTTCATTTGTTACTGTGAGGGTGGTGAGGCCCTGGCACAGGTTACCCAGAGAAGCTGTGGCTGCCCCATCCCTGGAAGTGTTCAAGGCCAGGTTGGATGGGGCTTGGAGCAACCTGGTCTAGTGGAAGGTGCTCCTTGAGGGAGGTATGGTCAAGTACATGGTGTGTGCAGAAACAGGATCTCAGGAAGTATCTGTGCACTGCTGTGAGTGAGGATGTGAACATAATCATCAGCACTTTGGGAAAGCAACAGAATTACTAAGAAATTACTGAATAAAAGCAAACCCACTCATAATATAATTCTTGGGTATCTGGCTGTTTGGAGTCTGTTTTATGCACAGCTGTTCTAAAACAAAGGAAGAGCAACCCTGAATTTTGCTTTGATTTGAGTGGGGGGGATCACCAGAAAACGTTGATCTTCAGTTGAGGCAGCTCATGTAGCCAAACACTGCCTCTCCAATAGATGTCACTGCAATCAACAGCAAATAGAGATGATGTTCAAAGAGGAAGATGTAGCTTGGAAGAAAAGGCTTCAAGCTTTATGAAAATAAAATATTGAAAAAGTAGTAATTGTAGTATTTAATTTCCTTAAATATAGTAAGAAGTGTATCTAATAGGGTGGATTTCCGAAG